CTTACAATGAGTTAATAGTGTAATGATTACTGCTACATACTGTTTTTCACTCAAGAATCTCCAGGTGATTTGATCTCCAAGTAAGCATTTGGCCTCTCTTGTCCCTTTGTGCCCAGCAGAAGAGCTGTGTTCCTACCAGGGCTACCAGAACTCTGGGTTGGCTTGGGTCACAGTGTCCCACTGCAAATGCACCACAGATAACCTGGAGCATCCCTCCAAAAACTGTGTGGCTCACTCTGGGCAGGAAAGGAGCCATGTGCTGGACTAGTCTGCAATATTCGTTGATTTCTGGACATTGATGAGCCTGATGGGACATCTGAAAGGGCCCCATGCTGAAATATGTTGGGACTTTTTCCAGCTCCCAAGGCATATGAGGCTGGGGAGGATTCAGATGGCTTTATTGGACGTTGAAAAAAGAAACCTACCAGATCAGTTATTCCTGTATGTATTTCTATCATGTTTACTGTAATGTTATTGTGTATTTATACTGCCAAGTTACTTGTAAAAACAACAAACTTTTTAAAAAATATGCTACACAAACTCCCATGCAAAAATGAAAACCATCTCCCATAGTGTCCTACCTTCTACTGCAGAGTAAGTTTTCAGTGTAATTCCTAAAATGGTCAGTCCTGACAGAACTTCTGTAGCTTAGCCTGCATAAAGGGTTGTTCCTAACAATAAGCAGCTAGAATGGTTCACGCAGTTATCACTGCTCTGACCCAGCTCAACTTAAAACTAAAAATTATGGATAGCAGTGCTTATCTGTTAACAAGTTCTTTAATTCTTAGTCTTCTTTCAGTCTTCAGTCTATAAAGGTATTCCTTAGCTACTGTATTGGCAAATTAGAAGTATTGGTGAGAACATTAGTTCATAGTTCTATCAGAATTGATACAAGAGGGACAGTTAGAATTCAATTAGAAGGTCTGGGTCCACAGATTGATTAGATTAATCAACACAATTAACTTTCACTTAAACCAGTGGTCTTAAATTATTTGCACTAGAATAGGGTTTCTTTCATATTTAGCTCAATCTCTTTGAAGAAATACAGGCTTTCTAAATTTTTCAGCAATGAACATTTTACCCAAATCACTAATACATCTAAATCAGCTTATCACATAATATAAATGTTTGCCTTTTTTACAAGCAAGACTGCGTACCATGTGCTGCCTTTCTCTTTTCTATAATTAGCAGAAACATTTGGAAATTGCAATAACACTTTCTCTGTATCTTTACAAGAAAGAAAATGACCTAAAAAGGGAAGAAAGGCGAGTCTAGGAAGAAGCACTGCTAATCTAAACATCACCCACAACTTGCAATCAGGAACACCCCCTCCCTTCTCCAACCAGATCTTTCTGTATTTGTGTTTTGTTTTTGGTATTCAAACTCTCTCTCTTCACTACAGATTTCCCTACTTGGAAATATTATCATCTGAGATCACTGTACAGCAATAACAAATAAAGCTGTTCCAAGCTGCAGACTGGGCTATGGGGTAAAAGTTTGTAATCAGTAAAGAACACGTACACTGCAGACACGGGCTACCCCAATGTGGAACTATTAAATTTATCTGTCATTTTAGTAGTGTTCACATTGATCAGATAACTGTGTGCTGTCTCTATACCGAATAGGCACTTTTCAGGTAAGAAACTTGTGAAGAAAAATACGACTTTCCACTTGGAAAGCTAAATTTTGAACTGCTGTACACTGTCAGACTTCTAAACTACTATCTTTACTAAAATTTCAGCCAGCAATACTTTGCCCACGTTTTCTGATTGTAACAAATGATTTAAAACTCTTGGCTTCACAAAAATACCACAATTTTATCCCTGAAAAGACACTATAAGAAATTAGACTTCTGCAGAAGGTTAGAACTGTGATTCTGTAAAAGTTAATGCACAGCAAGTAAAAATGCCTTTAAATACATTACAAATGTTTGCAAATAAAGTCACAGCTCCAATTTCTGGACATTCAGATTTCCCTAGAATCCTTTCAGATGCAGCCATTAGGCAGAAACCTGAAGGCATAATTAATGGTTGGTTGATGTTAAGTTGATACACAGCCTCGGTGAGTCCTCCTGTGAGATCCCCACCACCTGCACAAATTTTGGATAATAAACCAGCTGATTAGTTGGAAATTAAATAAGGCTACAATGTGTTGGTACAATTTAGGTGAAATCCACAAAGCAGTTGATTCTTGCAGAAACTGTGATCTCTCGAGTCCCTTCTTGCACGCTAATGCTGTGTAAAAATAAGCTGTCTTTTTTTTTTCATACAATTCTTCCCTTTTTGCCAGTTAGAAACAGCTTTAGCAAATGCCTGGGATGGTAGCAGCAACAATAAACTGAAGGCTTTAAAATAAACTTGGCACTAAGTCTCACTGTGTTGCTAGTTCACTGTTCGATTTGAGGTCAATAAAGGCTTCCACTCAGCAAGTGTCTGCTGTAAGTTAAGGATACTGAGAGATCCTAAACAGCTGTGAGGGGCACAAATGCACAGTGTTTATTATTACAATACAGACAAACTGCTAAGATGGTAGTTTGTTTCCACAGGAATCAACAATTGAAACTATTTTTTGTGATAGTTAAAAGCAGCTTGATTATTAGGGTTTTGCCCCTTTGTGCCAAAGCTTTGTGATGGGAACTGTAAGGCTTGCCAAGTTGGAATGAGGACTTACTATAGTGGGGAAAAAAACCCCAGAAAGGAAAGTCATGTTTGATTTGTGGGTTTGATTTGTAAAAGATGACTGGATTAGAGAGAAAGCTTTTAGGTTTCAGAATACTGTTGAGGACTGTAGGTGAAGAGCACTGGCCAGGCAATACTAGAATAACAGGTCATTTTGGCAAAGGAAACTATTGTTAATTCCTTAAGAGGATTAGGGTGACAGTTAAAACTAAATTTAGAGTTATCGCAATGGCTCAGCTGTGGGAGTACCTCATGAACTCCTTCAGTCCCAAATACTAACAGTAAATGGAACTACTCCCCACTTCCCCTTCCTTTAGTCCAGCTAAAATTCCAGTTTAGAAGATGATGAATCATAGACCATGCAAATCTAACAGGGGGAGGAAAACCCATACATTTGCCTTTGCTTCTTGACCTTAAAAACAAACCTTACAGCTCCACAGCCTCAGATCTAATGGTAATAAATTTTATCCTGTCTACAGCCCCCACTCAGCCTGCAATTTCACTAATATAAGCTACTCTTTTGTTCCCACTATCCCCAGCCATGGGACATCCCAAGCCAATTTATATTTCTAACTTTTATCTCAGTCTTTCAGGATCCATCAGTAGATCCAGTTTTTCAGTCCTTCCTGTTGATCTCTCAATGTAACCTTAATCTGCACTAGGGCTTTTGAGGAAAACACAGGAAATCAAGCTGGCCACTTTCTGTCATCTTTAACCTTAATCTAACACACAATACTGAGTGGCACAAAATGGACTAAGGCAGATCCTGGAAAAGAAATGGACTGAATTATTTTTAAAGATACTGCTTGACACGTCAGCGTCTACAGAACAATCTTTTATTGTTCCACAAGGCTTACAGGTCTATGATGAGGACTCAATATTTACAGGCATAAAACAGTTCAGATTTTTCCAAAGATGGATGTTGCTGGTCTCTCTTTACACTGGGGCTTAGACAACAGCCAGGAACTGAACTGTCAATCAGATGTACTATTGGATCCTGCAGTTTCTTAGCTGAGACTGTGACTGGAATGAACAGAAGCATATGGTTTTATGTAGACACTATATGCTGAGGTGATTCTAGGATTTCCTGTCATGCTCCAGCTTTAGGATAAAACCACAAAGTTGTTACATTCTGTCTTGTCCATGCTGCTAAAATGAAGGTGTCTGGAAAAGAGAGACATCTGAAAGACAATTAAGAGATAGGGTATGGGTAGCTAAACTGTAAGGTTGAGCAAAAACAGATTAAAATGTACTGCACTGTTCCGAAAAGGCAGCAGTGCTACAGTGAAGCCAGCAGAAATGGAGGACAGCAAGAATTCCATTCGCTTTGGTTACGTCTGGAAAAGTGGAATATCACTTACACAAGTTCAGTGAGTATCAGTGAAAACTGGCTAAAGCACACTTAAAAATAAATTTGGCAGCACACACACTTCAGTGTCGCCACCCCTGAATAAAGGAAACAGCCATCTTTTGAGGCAGGATTTCTTTTGACTCATTGAAAGGCCTTCATCCTGTTCCCAGAACTTGACCTAAATAAAGTAACCACTCCTCTATGTCTGTCCTTAAAAGTTTCTGAAATGGGTGTATTCAAAGCAGGGACCGCCCTATAAATGGCTGGATTACATCCTCTTCCTCAGTCTTTTTAAGCCCTGAATATTGCTACACGTAGGAGCTGCCAAATTTTCCTCTTCTGGCTGTAAACAGAAAGCGTGCAATGAACGCCAGATTTCTTTTAAAAGCTTTCTAACCTCCCTCAGCATTTCACATTTCTCACCACGGCTGGCTGGCTGTCAGCGGGGAAGACACAAACATCATGAACGCTAAAGCGTTATTTGCAGCCAGTCCTGGTTTGTAGTTGCACGTATAGCAATTTTTAATGATGCGTTTGCTGCGCTAAATTAAGCCTGGGCTCTTGGGAGTAATTGCAGTGGCTTCCTTTAATGCAGCAATAATCATTGTTAAAGTCAGCATACGTGACGCGTAGCCTTTGGCAACCAAGAGAGCCAGCGTTTAGCTGCGGAGAGGATTTTCCATCCCCATTTTAGGAGGCGATCGGGGGTCGGAGTGTTGTCGGAGGGGAAGTTCCCTCGGCTACGTGCGTGCGGCAGCCAAGCCCCGAAACCAGCGAAACCAGCGCACCGGGAACGGCCCCGACCGAAGGAGCCACCGCTCGGGCTCCGCCGAGCCCAGGGGCAGCAGCGCTGTCCGGGCCGGTGTCCGGGGCAGGGGCAGGGACCCCGGCGGTGTCCGGCCCCCGGCGGAAGGGCGGGCCCGGGCGGCGTCCCAGCGGCGGCCTTGCTACCGGCCTTGCTGCAGCAGCGGCAGAACTCGTGTTAAACCACGTTCTTTGTGCGGCAGTGAAATGCTGTTCCGCTTCGGCGTGGTGCTGCCCGCCCGGGTGACGGAGGGCGGCGCGGAGCTGCTGGTGGCCGGCTCGCGGCCGGAGCTGGGCGAGTGGGACCCGCGGCGCGCCGTGCCCATGAGGCGGGCGCGGCCGAGCGCCCCGCTGCCCGCCCAGGAGCCCGCGCTGTGGCTGGCGGAGGTGGCGCTGCCGGACGAGGACGCCGCCAGCCCCTTCTGGTACAAGTTCCTGCGGCGGGAGGGCGGCCACTTCCTCTGGGAAGGTAACGGAGGGGAGCCCTCGCCGTCCCGCGCGGCCCCGGCGCTGCCCGGCCGCAAGGACGCGGCGGCCCGGCCGGGAGGGGCGGTGCGAGCGCCTCGCCCTGAGGGCAGGCTCTGGCTGCCGTCCGGCCCGGCTGGTGCCTGCCGCGGCCGGGAGGGTGCCCCGCTCGGCCGGGAGGGTGCCCCGCTCGGCCGGGGGCCGGGCCCGAGCTCGCAGTTGCCGACAGCCGGCCCGGCGGTGGCCTGAGCACTGCTTGCAGGTAGAGCCGCCCAGGCTGCCGTGGCAGCGAGACCTGGGTTCTCGCAAACAAAAATATTTTTTTAACTGAGTGATGGAGGCGGCTGAATGCCGAAGGAGACGGCCTTTCTAGGTTGGTAAAGGTTATTTGGAACGGCTTCGTTTTTTCCCCCTTTTAGGCATCCATTGTCATGTTTCGTTTTGATTTCTTTCTTTCCCCGTAAGTAAAGAATTCAGGATGTCCTAGTAAGCACTGTGGTGTGGGTTGTTATTTTATTTCGCTAAGGTGAAATGTCATGAAGGCATTTTCAGGCTAGTAAATTTTGCTATTGTGATTTCTTAAAGAAAAACAGGGAGAAGTTCAGTTACAGCTTTTCCAGACTTCTTGCTGGTTCAGCAGTACTTCCGCCTTGTTTTCCTCCTGCTATGTGTTTTCAAATGTTGAATAACTCTAGTCAGTTTCCATGTGCTGATTTAGTATATTTAAGTATTTCAAGTACAAGAGAACACTCAGACAATTGTCTGCTAAGTCAAATAAACCTCTAAATATACCTCCTGTTACTAAGGAATGGATCTGACCACGTGAAAGGAAGACAGATCACTTGGTAATTTGTGATGGTATTTTTTTAACTCACAGCATAATAATCCATGTACCAAAATAACACATTGTAGAGCAGTTGCTTTTCACCCATTTTAAGAACACATACCACACTTCTGAAGTGCCTTTCTGTCATGTAGACTAAAACATGCATGTTGTCACAACTGTTGCGTTTGTTTGTTCTTCTTTATGCTAATAAAAGACTTCGTGTTAATGCTACATTCACAGAAGTTCACATCATGAAGGACTATGTACATCATACAATAGTAATTGTTTTATTTAGCAGGTAAAACAAATAGCATATTCTTCCTGTTTTAACCATGTTTTTCTTTTCCAGAATTGCAGGAAAAGTGAATTTATGGAATAAAAATCTTTACATCTGTCCAAGGAAGCAGAATTGGGTCTCTTTTGAAGGTGCCAAGTTGTACATAATATGACAATGATACCAGTATATAAAGCAGTCCTCACCACGCAGAATGTATAAATAATAGTAGAAATAATTAGAGTTCTATAGAAATAATAGAGAATAACGACAGAGAATCAGCAATTTTTAGGTCGATGGTTACTGTCTGGTTTGGAAATAGTGGTAGCTCAAATTATTGCCTGTTCCAGGGAGCACATTTAGGAAATGTAGTCAGAGTAATACTGTGTTTTGGCAGATTTGTGGTTTTAGGATTAACCTGGGTGTCATTTTGTTCTTGTCATTGTGAATGCTCAGGAGTTTGAGCTCAGTGCTTAGCTGGAATGACAGAAAGCAAGTGGGCATATCATCCAAATGCAGAAGAATTTTTTAATTAGTCATTCATATCAATAATTTTTCTTCAATTGATACTTACAAGAAAGCACAAATTTGCTTAAAACTTGAAATTCATTATCTTCATGTATTACATGAAGGCAGCCTAAGGATGTTTTCCTATCCAATAACAGGAATCTTGCAGTTCTTCATAATCTAATTTGGTTTAATGTTTTTTGATTTTTGTGGTTTTTTTAATTCTTGATCAATGCAATTTTGGCTGTCATCTGCTTATTCTTATAAAAATCACAACTTGAAAAGACAATTTCCTTCTTAAATAAAATAACAAATTTTTTTGTGCTAAACAAATGCTATGCATTGTCTCTTTAGTATCCTGCATGTTTAGAATTACAATGTGCTTTGGGAAACACTCAGCACTTGCAGAACATCTGCAGTTTTGAAGACATGTTTATGAGGGATAGAGGAAAGTGCAGAATGATACTTGTTTATGTGTTGAGGCATTCATCTGTAACCAGAGAAACTAGTCCACTTATGGATGTCAGATGTTTACATATATTGGATGTTGAAATCATGTGCTGTATTTAAGAAAATTACTTCAGTTTTTTTATTACGACATGTATATGTATGAGAATTCCACTGCCAGTGCATATTGTTTTTATGATAGTACAATACCGTATCAAATATTTTGAGTACAAATTGCAGCCATTCCAGTGCAGTGGGGAGACTGAAAGATAAAAGTGGGGGTAGTTATTTATGTGGGCTAGAAGAGTCAAAGTCACAGGCCAATGTTGTGTGGCTTTTGGTAGGAAGCTTTCAGGCAAGGCTTGGCCTGTACAAGATTCCCCGGGTTGTTACTTGTGCCTGGATGGAACAAGTTCCCCTCCCTAGGAGGAGGAGGTGGGAGCTGAGACTCCCCTGTGCTCCTGAGGGATCAGATTCTTGTCTCTACTGTCCCAGGGAGATGTTGCTGGTCTGCACCCAAGACCTGTCACTTAAAGCCATTTCTGGCTCAGCATAACCAACTGAGAATCTGGGAATAGGTTTAGAAAAAAACTAAATTCATATATGTACGTTTTTTCCCCCCAGCTGAACCTGTGTGTCTGTGTACTTTGTTTTTGATGTTGATTCTTCAAAACTGGACTTAGCATCTCTCAGCTTGGAAAGTAAAAGTATTTTGTGCCTACTGTCAAAACGAAATAAATACAAAATGAAACTTATGTTTGAATTTGTTTTTGTGAGTTTATGATGGAACACTCATCTGTGCCTTTTCCCCCTTACTTTCATCTAAATAAACTGCAGGTACTAATCAAGAAACATGTTGTATAAAAGGACAGGGAATTTACTAGAAGTTTTCTCCAAACTTTATTTTGAGATGATAGAATACAATCTGCTGACACTATATTTTTGGGAAGGGGAAAAATAAATTAAATAAAAACCTACTTAAGCTTGTAGTACATACATAAGCTTGTATTGTAAAATGTTGATCTTTTGTTCCCCAGATAAATTGTGGATGCCCCTTCCTTGAAGTATTGAAGGCCAGGTTGGATAGGGCTCTGAGCAGCTTGGTCTACTGAAAGTGTCCCTGCCTGGGGAAGAGGTGGGAGGCTTAGAACTGGATGATCTTTAAGGCTTCCAACCCAAACCAGTTTGTTATTCTTTGATTTTCATGTAGCTCTTAATTTGGTGTAGATGGAGCTTGCTTGAAGCTTGACAGATGCAGTATCACCAGTGAAAGCTCAAAAGCAGGATCAGATGATGTTCTAGTAATTTGTTCAGGTGAGCAGATGTTTAATCCTTCCAAAAAACTCCCATCTCTAGTTCTGGTTTTGGGGAGGGAGGAGAGAAAAGGAGGTGTATTGTTTGCAAGACAATACAATACAGTGCAATTTAGAAATTATTATATTATTCATCCTGTGGTATGTTGGCCTTCCAACGTTTCCAGTTCACACTCCTGTGAGCCTGTTTGTGTAAACCAAAAGATTGGTACATTTATGGAGTAATAAAGGTATTCACATCATTGTAATACAACCAGAAATAAATTCTGATCATAAGTTTCAAGGGTTGAGCACCCAATTGGTTGAGAACATCGGTGATAATTAAGCACATTAAAATTTCATTTTTAAAGTGTTAAAACTTAAAGCGATCTTTTGGCCTCAGCTCTTTGAACAAAACTGGTATAATTTCTTAATTTAAAAGAGTAGATTCTTGCAAGGCTGAATGGGAAGGTAAGGTATAGTTGCCATTTGCAATGGAGAGATTATAACAGAACAGAAATTACTTGGGGCTAGGCCTTAGCAAGATATGCAAAGTAAAAATTCTTTTGAGGCTATTCTGAGAAGTACAGTTGGATACAATATTCATTTCTGTAACAGATCCATTTTTTTTCCTTTTCTTTTCTCCAAAGCTAATCTGCAGATCCCTAAAATAGGTAGCAGTTCTGTTATTAAAACAAACAAACAAACAAACAAACCACAGCCAAACAAAAACCCCAGCAAACTGTGAAGAGTTTCATTTCTTCATGGCTCTCTTAATGCAGATATTTCATGTAGTGCTGTCCCCACTGGGTGGTGCCATATTCCCTGTGTATAGCTAGTGGCTGCCTAATGCCTTGCATGTTTCATTAGTATTTAGTATAATCTGTTCTGCTTTTGAAAATAATTCAGAGTTTTACTTACTTTCCCACTCCCAGTCTTGTTCTGAGGTAGGTGGTGACTAGAAATTAACATAAAGCACAAGTTATGTGATACTTGAGTAATTATACATCACAGGCATCTTTTTCCTGCAAAGCTGCTGCTTTCTGGACAGGGCTAGATACCTTAACACCTTTCAGATGTGACAAAACTTAACGAGTAGGAGTGGATAACTTTGAATTCTTCAACCCAATACTTACTTAAGGAATGGAAATAAACTTTTGAAGTGTGATAGCTCCTGGTGTTTTGTTCTTCAACCCCCTCAAGACATATACATAGCTTGCATTTTGGCAATTAAATGGCAGCAAGATTCTCATTAGTTCCTGTCTGCTTATCATCATTAACCAGCTTATACTGAGCAGACGTCCAGATATCAGTAAAACAATGCAGAGTGGCCTATGTGAAACTGCAAAATTACAAGAATAAAAATAATACACTTGCATTTCTCTGGGTTTGGCAGGCATGCATATTTTCCTACCCACAGAGATAATCAGAGGCCAGTTCTGATTTCTGTGAGAGTCTAATTAAAGCCTTTGTGGTTATAGTGGCAAATTTACAATAAATGCATTGTTTATGCAAATCCTGTATTTACCATTTTTCCCGTCCCTTGCTTCCAAGTGGTCATAGCATGCAATAGGGCTCAACAACTTATTTTCCATGGCAAGAAACACTGAGAAGTGGTAAGTAACTGGGATGATACTTTGATTAAGGTATTGCCATGG